TTGAACATATTGAGGTACTTTTTTATCTTTTAAATGTGACTTATATAAATAAATATCTTTGCCTTCAAGAGCATAAGTTTAGTCAACATGTATTTTTAAAACTTGATGTAAACACCAAGAACACAAAAATGAACAGATAGGCAAATATCTTGCACTGATGCAAATCATGTTCCAATGAGGAAAGAATGAATAAACACAGGATTGCTAAAGATAATATAGTAATAATTATAATATGTAACATTTCTATAACATTTATTTTGTGTTGAATATTATCTTAAGTTTCATCTCTCTCACTCTTTCTCTCTCTCCTCCCCCCCCCATCTTCTTTTATACCTCCCTACAACTCTTTAAGGCAAATGCTCAGGGGTCAGTTTTACAGATCTAAAAACTGAGGCACAGGTAAGTTATATGATTTGTCTGAGGTTTTAAGTCCTTAAGTCATAGACTTGGGACTTGAATTCACAAAATCTGGTCTGAGGATTCTTAACTTTACCTATTGTCTCTATTCTTAACTTTACCTTATTGTCTATTTAGAGAAGTATCATGAGTCATAAATGGCATAAAGATGAATGAAGCCGGACACAGGCATAGGTTGTTGTAGGAGGAATGGCATGAGGAATACAGTTTTACTTGTTGTAGTGGTTTTCAGCAGCTTCTGGCCAGGTATGGTGGCTCATGTCTATAATGCCAGAATTTTGGGAGGCTGAAGCAGGTGAATTGCTTGAGCCCAGGAGTTCAAGACCAGCCTGAATAGCACGGGAATCCTCCATATATACAAAAAATACAAAAAAAAAAAAAATAGCTGGATGTGTATACCTAGATCCCAGCTACTCAAGAGGCAGAGCTGGGAGGACAGCTTGAGCCCTGGAGGTCAAGGGTGCAATAAGCCATGATCATGCTACTGCACTCTAGCCTGGTTGAGAGTAAGACCCTGTCTCAAAAGAAAAAGGAAAAAAAAAAAGGTCTGCAAATTATTTGATACTTCTTTTTTCAAGAGGGGGAAGTTAATTTCTCTCTCCTTGAGTAAGGGTTGGATTTAGTACTCCATCAAGTAGAATAAAATGAAAGAGAAGGTTTCCTTCCTTGCTACTTCCAAGATTAAGTTATAAAGATCATTGAGACTTCCTTTTCATTCTGTCTTCAACCACTCATTCTGGGAAAAGTCAGCTACCATGTTTTGAAAATACTGAATCACCCCTAGATTGCCCTTTTGACAATCAGAGGCCTCCTGAAGTCATCCAGCATTGATTTGCTAGGTCTCTGAGGAAGCCTCCTTAGAATTGAGCTCTTCAGCTCTAGTCGAGCCTTCAGATGACTACCTCCCTGGCTGACAACTTAACTGAAACCTCTGAGTCACAACCATCAAGCTAAGTTACTTTCAGATTCTTTATTCACATAAACTGTGTAAAATAATAAGTATTTATTATTTTAAGCTGCTGAGTTTTGGTGTTTTTAAACAGCAGTAGGAATCAGTTTTCTATTTTAAATAGCTATAGAAAACAAATAGGGCATTCGAGAAAACATTCTCTTGTGAGATGACATTAGACCAGACATTTATTCAAGTTAAGGAGCAAACAATGAGTATGATTTAAGGAAAAGATTTTAGGCATTGAGGAAAAAAAAAACAAACTTATACAAAACCTTGAGCACATTTGTTATGTTCAGGAAACTGTAAGTTGGCCTATTTGGGTGGAATACAGACAGAGAAGAGAAGAATGGTAGAGGCTAAAGTCAGAAACCAAGGCATCACTGTGTGGAGCTTTACATGCTACTGTAGAAGAATCTGGATCTCCTTCTGTCTGTAA